TAAGTTAGTCAATGAAAGCAATCTGGAAGAATTAACCATAAGAAAATGCAATGTATGATTGTCAACACAAAGGATAACGTGTTACATAATGGGGTTGTAAAAAAAAAAAGGGGAAAAGAAAATTAAGCAGGTGTGAAAATACAACTATCGAGGTAATTTAGTAATAGATAGAAAGTGTAAGCCAGAAATTCAAAAGTTCTTAGGAACATTGAAAAAAAAGTTACTAATGAATTGAAAAATGTACTTAGAAACAAAGATCGTCGGTCTGTTCTTTATGGTCTAATCATATCATACTTATTATAAAACCCAGGTTGTGTGTGTCTGTACATTTATATATTGGATCGGATTTCCTACATTTTTCAACCTATTTCAACAAAACTTCAAAGGACTACGTAAAATTACCTTGCGGTGGTTCTGACAGCACCAAAAATTGGAAAAGCACAATTGTTTTTTGCACAAAATCAATTTGAAAACACGATTAGAGGCATCAGGAGAATGAAAGGGGGACAACTCATATCGAGTTGTACTTATTATAAAACAGGTTGTTTTGTGTGTGTGTGTGTGTGTGTGTGTGTGTGTTCCTTTATATATGGGATCGGATTTCCTACATTTTTCAACTGGTTTCAACAAACTTCACTTTTTTTTTTTTTTTTTTTTTTTGGCAGGTAGTGTTTCTTATTGCCTTGCACACTTTTTTTTTTCTTTGTTTACATTCAGAATGCTTTAAAAATTCCATTTACAAGACAATTGTTTATAATAAAATTCTATTCAATTGGTAGACTCATAACAATTGAAAACAATGTTTTTGTTTGACCAATTTGTAAAAAAAAAAAAACTAATTAAGACATGAATGTCCGTCAACCTTAAACAATAATCTTTGTCAATTTTATTTTTCAGTCTTTATGATGGTTGATACTTGATCTGTCTCTTACTGTTACATCCCCAGGCAATGCCGGGCTCTACTGCTAGTTTCTTATATGTCATTGAATATTGCCACAGATGAAGACTAGACTTGATGCAACAGATGTAGTTTTACTGAGGAATTTTGAGAATTCCATGGATAGAGTATGTGAGAAAAGAAGTTTTAAGGTGAATAGGAACTAAAAAAGAAACTGCTGAAAATTTTTGGATGCAATGAAAAAAGAAGGCTTGGAAAATACAACATTCACAAGGCATATTCAAACTAAGTGAGGCTGGAAAGTGCGTGGCTTAGTTGTTAAACTTGAGTAAATGGACAGCAAATGAAGACTAAAATCAAGAATTACTTTGAGTGACAAAAGGCAGGAAGTTGTGGAGAGCCATGATTGCCCACATTTTGAAGTACATCGAACAGATAGCTTATCAGGAAAACAGCTGTGTAAACTGGACTGTTCATTTTTAGCGAGGGAAGGGCTCTCTTTTTTTAAAGAGCTGGCTGTCTGACATTTATCAGGTGTACAAGAGTTCTCTTTGTGGAAGAGTGGGGGGGATTATTAGCTGGCAATATTTTAGAGTGATATTGCATGTTGTGTTGTAAATAAACAAATTTATTCACCAACCTTCCAGATGTTGCATCAAGAAGAGTATTATACTGGCAATTAAATATTACTTTTCTCATTTATTTTGGGGGATTTTGTTTTTTGCTTATAAAATGTCAGCACTAAAAAGAAAAAATAGTTGGCAGGATTCATTTTTTTTTTTTTTTTTTTTTTTTTTTTGTTAAGTTTAATCTAGAATTTGATGTTTATCAGTATATCTTTCAAAGGTAAGAATTTTGGCATTAATGACTTTCAAGGTTAAATTCTTGATGAATGAAAATAAATTTTTTCAGATAGATCTTATTGGACAAATTTTTGTTTTTTATAAAATAATTACACCAAGCAAAGCGGGAGTACCACTAGCATACAAGGGGGTTACAGAGGGTTGAGAACAAGAGTAAAGAGGTGTGTTTGGGGTAAAGAAAGAGGACAAGGAACAAGATCAAGGTATCCGATGTTGATTGTCGTTACACTTGGTTGTTTAAAGATTATAGTTATTTGAGAAGCAAGCAAGGGGAAGGGAGTTCTGCAGACTGGAAGTGTGGCAGAAGAAGCTGTTTGAGTAGAAGAGACTGTTATGTTTAACCGTTTCGACAGTGAAAGGGTGGGACTGAGATGCCAGCCTAGTAGCTTGTTTAAATTCATGCAGTCTGGGAACCAGCAAAAGTAGCTCATCGGAACAGTTGCCATGAAAATACTTGTAGAAGAGACAGAGAGAGGCCATGGCATTTGGAGGTTAACTTCCCCCCCCCACCAAGAAACCTCTTTGCATTTATACTATTAAAGTTCCATAGATTTTAAAGCAAAACTTGAATATTAAAGGAAAAATGCTTATTTTTTCTTTTTCTTTTTTTTCTTTTTCTTTTTTTTTCTTCTTTTTTTTTCTTTTTCTTTTTTCTTTTTTTTTTTCTTTTTCTTTTTTTTTTTTTTTTTTTTTTTTTTTTTTTTTTTTCTTTTTTTTTTTTTTTTTCTTTTTCCTTTTTTTTCTTTTTTCCCTCTTTTTTTCCTTTTTTCCCTCTTTTCCTTTTTCCTTTTTTCTCTTTTTCCTTTTTTTTCCTCTTTTTTTTTTTTTTTTTTTTTTTTTTTTTTTTTTCCTTTTTTTTTTTTTTTTCTCTTTTTTTTTTTTTTTTTCTTTAGAGAATTGGACTGTTATTGCATGTCCTGTTTCTACTGGGTCTTTACTATCAAAGGATTGAACTCGGAATTATTCTGCCACCAAATATATGAACCACCACTTTAATCTTCTCAGTTATTGTCTAACTAAGCAATATGAAAAAAGAACAAGATGTGTTAATCCCTTGATATTTATAGTGGAATGAGAACAATCTGCTCCTTCCTTTTTTCCTTTCTAGGCTCTCTACTTCCCCCTATTCCTTGCAGCTCTCAATAAGTTCCTTCCCTCTGCTTCCTCCCCCAGACCATGTTCTGTCATCCACTTGCTTAAGTCTGCCAGGTATGTCACGCGTTGTTTTCTCTTGTCTCTCTTTCCCTCTATTCGACCGATGAGTATCAGATTCTCCAGGCCCTCCTTCCTCATTATGTGTCCCAGAAACTTCAGCTGCCTCTTCCTGATGTTAAGTATAAGCCTCCTCCTTGTTTTCAACCTCTCTAAGATCTCATCGTTGCTCACACACTTGGCCCATGATATCCTTAGCATCCTTCTGCAGAACCACATCTCTGTCGCCTCAAGTCTCTGCTTCATCTTTGAGGAAATCGTCCAACATTCACTGCCATAAAGAAGGACAGATGTCATGTAACAGTTCAGTATTCTTTGTTACCAAAGATATCTTCCTGTCTTGCTAGATGAAATAAAGGGTTTAGTTTTCAGGTTATCCAGAATAACAATCACCTGAATAAGACCAGTGGGTATATTGGCTGAAACATTATGATCACAATAATGGTAGGGATAATAGTGCAAATAATGTCAATGTTGATAACTCTTCATACCAGAAATTTAGACAGAGAAAATTAATTTCTGAAAATTTAGCATGTGAAATTTCCTTAAAAAGATACAAGAATTATTTCCATGCTTGAGATATATAACAATTAGAAATTATGTAATTTGATGGTAGATTTTAATCATGTGATCAAATCTTGGAGGATATTAATGTTTTTGTTCTTTACTTAATTGCTTGATGATAAATTTTGAATTATTTCTAAATGATGTCACTATAAAAGGAATAGTGAAAGATCAATATAGTGTCCTTTGTTTAATAAAGTTTTTTTTTTTTTTGTTTTTGTTTTGTTTTGTTTTTCTTGAGAATCTCTACAGATGTCAACGATCAAATTATTCCCATAATTATCTGTTCATATAAAATTATGTATTCTTCTTTCGTATTGATTTGTGCCTTAACCCATCAAAACTTATCCTCTCTAAAATGCAAGGTAACCCCTCACTCCCAAAATGTCAGATTTGTCTGCACACTATTACGACTGAATGAACAAACAGATTTATCCTGATATTTATGAATATTCTTAAGTTTCCTTTATATTTTTTTTTTGTTCTTGTACCATTTTACATTTGTCTCTACTCATTTTTTTTACTCTGTGGCAGTTATAACATTTGTTTGTTTATTTTTTTTCACATGGCATCTTGTTTTCTTGCTTCCCTTTCATCAATTGCTATTACAGAAAAAAAAAAAGATTTTCTAAATATTTATAACTTTTCTTTCATCCTGCTTATTTCATAGAGAAATTCTTGCTGTGTCTTATGCATTCATTATCTTTATCATGGCAATAAATACATGGATGATTTATGTTGTTGTTAGTTGCAGCCACTATTAAGGAATAAACACTTTCCTCTCTTGCTGTGATAATTCATGAAAAATTGTTTTAGGCAGATAAAACCATCTTGTATTTTTAATGAGTCTTCATGCTAAGCTAATGTTTTTTTTTCTTTTTTTTTTTCCTCCATTGTCATCTCATCTTCATTTTTGCTATAAATAGTCACCTTAATGATTTTGATTGTGTAACATTAAAAACTAATAAATCATTTAGCTATTTTACAGTGAAACTTGTAAGTGCATACAAGCTATTTTATAGAAACAGTTAATCATTACGTTCTGTCCATTTTTGTATAAGATTTTAGTTTAAAAAAAAAAAAAAGTTTTATACCTGCCCAACCTACCAGAAGCTGATATTAATTTAATTTTTTTTTTTTGCTTACTGAACTGACCATCCTTATCTGGTTTGGTTGTTTTTGTTTAGCAGCATATCAACACCTCTATGGGTTATTTAATGTTGAAATGTAAATATTTTGTATGCAATTTATTTAATTTTTATTTTATTTTTTGTTAGAGATAGTGGTTTTAGTGATACAGGTTTTACTAATTAACCCATAAATGGGGGGGAGAAGAGGTGGATTCATGCCTTTCTCAAGGGTATTTGCATGTAAGTGAATATAACTAACAACTGGAATTGGAACTTGGTCTCTATTTAACAATTCCAAAACCATTACCCATTACGCCACCTGCACATCCAAACTTACAGCACCTGCTATTCCCAAGCGGTCACCCATCTAGGTACTGACCAGGCTCAACATTGCTTAACCAGTGATCATATTGGAACCAGTGTTTTAATGTGATGAGGCTGTAAGGCTTACTTAATCTGGATTAATTAGGGCCTGTGAAATTCTGAGAATTCTGAATTTTGCAGAGGAGTTGAAAGAAAAGATTCAATCTAATTCCTCACATGAAGTTGAGATTTGAAGCAATAGATATAGTTCTACAGAGCTTGCTGAGAATACCATAGATGGAACATGTGAGCAATGAGTAAATTTTAAGGAAAATGTGAACAAAAGGGACACTTCATTTACAATCAGAAAGAGACAGTTGAAATTATGGGGATTTATAATTAATGACTAAAGAGAACCTGGAAAATTTAAAACTCACAGGGCATATTGAAAGCACGAGGGGTAGAGGGGAAACGGCAAGTTGCCCACCTAATGAGTTTGTATGAATGGATGGAAGAGAAAGGGTTTGGAGGGATGGTAGACGCAAATGTTGCTTAGAGTTAAAAGGACATGAAACTTTGGAGAGCTAAGATCACCTACATCCTTATATATATATATATATATATATATAGGAGACATGGTGGAGTAATGGATAGCAGCTTGGATTGAGGAATCGGAGAGCCGAGCTCGAATTCCAGTCAAATCCATTACATTCACTTATGTGCTAATACCCTTGGGAAAGGTGTGAATCCTTTTCTTCTCCCTCCAGCTATAGGTAAATAGCAGGACGGACTGGGTTCTTTAGCCTTGGATGGCAACTGGTCTAAAAGAATTACAACTCTGAATTCAAAACCTGAGGAGGGTCATTTGGGGACCTTGTGGCACGTAGTGCACCAGGCCTCTCTGTTTGGCCCTTCAAAAAGTGTGGATGGTCCTGCACGAAAGCTTCACCACTATAATCGAATCTCATGTGCTGTTGTCGGGCTGTTGGTTTCCTGGGAACTGATCTGCTTGACTCTCATATGTCGAATTCGACGGGGAGAGTCGACTATATATATATATATATATATATATATAATTCTTTTTTTTTTTTTTTTTTTTTTATTATTGACAATTCAGCCTCAATTGAGATCATAGTTCACAATCCTGCATAACTGTTAATTGGGAGATTCTTTTCAATGGTTGTATAGTACATGTCTTGCCAGGTCTGCAAACCCGATTTCAATTCGGAGCTGTCTTTCCCCAATTGCCAATCACAGGTAAAGATCCTAGTCTGCTCTGCTACTCGTACCTTTCCCAAGGTGTGAATGTAATGAACTTGGTTGAAATTTGAATTTGTCTTGTCAATTTATTTTTCCAAGCTGCTGTTACACTACCCAGCATGTTCTTAAGAGGTGTGGTCGTATAAAAGGTCTAACCATTCATCCTCACAGACACATTACTCTATTGAGTCTTTTTAGAAACTCATCCTTATGTGAACATATATCATGAGAAATATTTTTTTATTCATTGGAACTATGGCTGGATTTAACTCAAGGTTGTTAAAGTTAAATCAAAGCGATTTTTAAATCAAATGATTTTCAGAAAAAAAATCACTGATTTAAATCAATTTTACAAAGATCTTTAAAGCAAAAGATTTAGACATAAAACAATTTTTTGCTTTCATGTAATTTCAAGAAGGATGAAATATGTTAAAACATATTGAATCAAATATTTATTAATAAATTGAATTTTTTTTTTTTTTTTTTTTTTTTTTTAATTATAAAATAGAATTTTTAATCATTTAATAAATTTTAAAATTCAACATTAGCAGTGTTTGTATTCATGGATTTAAATAGAAAGACCAATTTTGCTGCTTTATATGTACCAAGACTGTTTCTCGGTTTGAAATGCACTAGTCCATAACACGAGAAAAGTTGTTCAATGCCAGAAGATGAGGTCACAGCTGACATGTGTTGCTTAACTGCAGAAAGTATATGGCTGCTCAATACCCTTCCAAATTTAAAAGTTAAAAAAACAACACAGACAGGAATTGAAAAACCCAGATCTAAGTTTTAAAAAAAAAATACTCTAGCTAGCAGCATTGCTAGCAAACTACTCATAAAAAAAAAATTTACAAGATTATTTATGTACAAATCGATCATACGTAGCTGATGATCAACATGTCAATCTGTTACATTATTTTGAAATACTGTAAGAATAAAATAGTTGTATGACCTTATCTGGAAAAAAAAAAAAGAGAGAAAAAAAGACTAAGTTGAATGTAGATGCACCCAAAACCTTAAAAAATGGTGAAAATTAAATGTAGATTTCTATCGACTAAATTAGGAAAATGTCAGCCAGATATAACCATTAATTTGTTAATTTGGCAACCATAAATTATCATACTGTCCGTCTTAATCTCTCAAGCTATTTGTATCAACTTTGATCTTTCCTTTGCTTTATGTGCAAAAATGAAAAAAAAATTCTTTAAAAGAAAAGAGTTGGGGAAGAGTTAGTAAATATTACGCACAAATACCCTTGGGAATGATGAATCTACCTTTTCTCTTCCCAACTATGGCTTAATTAGTAAGACTTGTATCAGTAAATCATTATTTTATGTGAAAAAATAAAAACTGCAATTTTTATTTTTTTCCTCTACTGATGGCAAATGCTAAGTGTCACCAAAACAGCTTACAGGTTGTCACACCAGTCAGATTGAAATGCCAGTTCTCGTACAATCACCAAAATTAAGCAACATCAAGCCTGGTCAGCACCTAGATGGGTGACTGCTTGGGAATACCAAATGCTGTAAGTTTGGCTGTGGAGGTGGTGTAATGGATAACACCTCGAAATTAGAAATCTGAGTACTCAGTTCCAATTCTAGTCAGGTTTATTATTTTCACTTACGTGCGAATACCCTTGGGAAATGTATGAATCCACCTGTTCTCCCCCCAGCTATAGGTTAATTAATAGTTGTAAATCATAATTATCTCCCAAAATCTTAGAATCTAAAAATATTTTCTAGCTTTAAATAACCTGCAAAAGGTTGATAAGCTTTAAAAAAAAAAAAAAAAATCAATCAAGCCAAAAAAAAAAGTATTGGTAAGTGTGTGACAAGCTGGAAAATTTGAAACCATCCCAGTTTAATTGTACTTGTCTATCTCTTCATTAGTTTGCATGACCATTACAACCTGCTAATGCCTAAATAATGGACTATTCCATTTTGATTGTATAGAAAAACAAGACCTGTACTATTTGATTTCAGTGTGAAAAATGAATGAATGACAGAAGTGTTTAACATCTTTTTTAGTGAAATGGAAAAAGTTTCAATTTCAAATCTTTTCCTTTTGTACCCACTTCTTAAAATAATGGTCAGCATTCATATTTATGATTGTTATTACAATATTTTGTAAAAGTTGTTAAGCTCAAATATTTAACGATGCAATATGGGAACTTCAGATATTTTATTGCTGTAGAACTTGTCATGAACGTATTCAATCATTAATTTAAGAATTAAAATTCATCAGAAAATTCAAATAGAAAAACCATGAAATTTTTACGGGTCTTTCTAGTGAACAGATAAGTGGTGGAACTGAATTGTTATTGATCAATATAAAGAATAATAAAACTTTACTGTCAAAGAAACTTTCACAGATTTCCTCTATTTTTCCCTCTGTAAGCTTTTATCTCTTTATTTATCTACTAAACAACTGCTACAAAGCAACAATAAGTCACACAGTGTGGATCAGATTCAATAGCAAGTTAGTGAAATTAGCTTATCACTCTACTGAAAGAGCTTGTACTTGTTTCTCATTCCACTGTTAATGAAGCATGTTGATTAGAGAAAACTAAATGAGTCTATTAATGGTTTTATATATGGATGTACAGGCTTCTAATAGTGGCTTGGAATGCGAAATCTGTCCAGTTCATTGCATTTATTTACAAATACCATTGGAAAAGGTATGAAGCCATCTCTTCTCACCCCCTCAAGTATGGATTAATAGGACAGACTGGGCTCTAACTTCGGTTGGCAACCAGCCTAGGACAACTCTGAATTTAAAACCCTTTACCTTGAGTGGCTCTTGGATCTTGTATTGGGTGAACATTATAAAAAAAAAAAAAAAAAAAAAAAAAATTAACTATATCAAAGCTAGGATGCTAAAACTATTTAACCCATTAGTGTATATCATCCAATGTTTTAGAGAGGGGGTTTCTTAAAATTTTAAATCTGCCAGCCCCAAGATTATTAGTCAAAAAGAGCTAAGATTTTAGGAAACATTATGCAGGAATGAGTTAATTTTGTTATTATTGAACATATTATAAAACTCTTCAGGAAGAGAAGATCTCTCTGGCTTAAAGTGAGCTAGTAAATTAGTTTTGAAAGGTATGCAACCTCTTAATTTTTAGGCAATTCTTCATAATCTGAAGGGTGGGCCCCGATTTTCAAATGTGTAGTGTGCATGCACATATATATATATATATATATATATATATATATATATATATATATATATATATATACACACATACATACATACATACACATTATTTTTTTTTCCTCTGGCCAATCTACAGGAATTCTTTCACTCTTGTAAATCTTTATACTTAGTCTTTATGCATCAATAGTAAATATTGGCTTTGACCAACATTGTCTTTTCTTGATTTCTTTTTTACTCTCTTTCTCTCCTCTCACAAGAGAAAAACTAGAGAGTAAGTCATTCAAGATGCTGTCACTCTGGTTGCTATGGCAACATGGTAGATTGATAGTAGCTGTTCCGCAGTCTTGCTAATGGCATCGTTTGTCTCCTGATTTGTAGAACTGTCAATAGATGAGGTAGGGGTATTACTTGCATCCACCGAGATAAGCTTCAGCACTGCCTTAGCCTTATGTCCTGATTCTAATCTATTACAAGGGAAGTGTATATGCCTTTTCATTGTATCTATATGAATAAATGTCCTGTTCATGGTACTGAAACATTTCTGTGATGAAATAATTAAGTCTGATGTAAAAACTAGCCATCAGATATAAAGTCTTTTCATTCTGTCTTTATCAGTTTTGTGCCAATGAATATTTGGTCATGTTTTGTGTGTATATAATATATAATCTGTGTTTTGTAAATTGTTAACAGTAATTATTGAATGTATCC